ATTTTCATGCCATTTTGGTGCCCACCCTTTCTGGTGGTCACGAAACGGAAGAATATAGCAAGACAGCAGCCTGCCTAAAAGGAAGACGATAGAGGGAGACAGGAAAAAGGGAAGAGGAAAGATCAATGAAGTCACACCTTGCAGTTTCTTCAGAACAGCCACCTCCATCTTCAGCACCTGCTTCGCTTGCTTGGCAGACTCTAGCTTCAGTGCGACCGACTCCTTGGTGACCATGTCTACGCCCTCGTAGATCTCACCAAACCCACCTCCTCCGATCTTCTTCACCTGGGACAGAATGAGACAGATACGCAGTATTAGGGCCAACTATGTGTGATAGCTCAGAGTCGTCTATCTATTTCCCCTTCCTGTAATGTTTAGTGAAGACTGTGAACAGCAGCATCATCGCCGAATCTCACAAGTTACAGGCATTCCAAATGTTAAGAATATTTTTAATTTCTTATAGAATAACATGTACGTGATATTCCATATTGTTGATTTCCAGGCCCCCGTCTCAATAGGTTTTTTTGCATTTGATGTCAGCTGACATGAATAGACTGTTGTACAGTCAGCTAAAATTTACCAGATTGTTGAATATTCCATGATGTCATTCATTGTTTTTTTTAATAAAAGACATCTTAGCTGGATAGTTACAAATTGCTCAATTCATCAATAAAATCGATGTGTTCCTTTGTTGTAGGCCGCTACAGAATATAATAATTATACTACATACTTATATAGTAATATCAATATAATAATACTTGCAGTAAGAAGAGATTAAGTTTGTACAGACCACCTACTTGTGACTAGTGCAACATAATATACCCATTCACAAGGTTTGACTGTAAAACCCTGCTTCTTTATTCGTGACAGTAATTCCTCGAATTAAATTCTTTATTACTGCATGCTGCACGTAATGAAAACCGGTCCATTAGCGTAAACTTTTAATCAGCGAAAGAGAGCACTAATGCATCAAACGTAGAAAAACCAGGTAGCACGTGTAGCATAGAGTACGTAATGATTTTATTTACTGTACCCAAAAAGCATAATAAAAACTAAACCCATACTTATTTTATTACTGTTTGAGTTTCTCAGCTCTACCCACCACTTTCCAGCGCTCTTTGATGACATGGCCCGGCTGTACAAGGTCCTCGTGAGCCTCCCCCATGCCTAGGCTCTCAGCCTACGACTCAGCCTGCAACAGGAGATGCGGTATGAACGTGAGTAGAAAGAGAATGTGTAAACTGTGAAGCCAAACTGAATGCAAGCTGTTTGCACGCGTTTCCTTCCACAGCCCTATAAGGAATGAGTACACATTGATGATCGCGAATAACTTCAGCACTCTCCCATTCAAGTACATTCATGAGCACGATGGGTAAAACACTGACTGATTCCTTACAAGTAGGGACACAATCAATGCTCGCCAAATTTAAATGGGAATTGCAAACGTAGCAGACGAAATTTTATTCGTAAGGCCATAATAAAAATATTATCACCCAACCGACCCACCAAAAAGATTTAAAAAATGCTATTGATCTTTCACATTCTTTTTTTTACAAATTGTATCATTGACACTGTACATGATATAAATCTGTAGGCAATACATTATATGTACCAAGCAAAACAAACATTCAACATAAAAGCTATTAAAAGGTATCTCCACACAACCACACCGGAGCATGTAGACACCATGCAAAATTTGTAAAAAGACCAACCTCAAAATAAAAAAAGAAGCCTATCTACATACCCAAACTTTTCAGCCTGGGTCGGGTGAGGGCAAACAAAGATTTTTTTAATTGTGGCCTAACTGGAATGACCGACCGCTCAACCATCTACAGTATAGACCACTGGATGTGGTGTATTCATAGAGATGTTTGGCTACTTGGCTTGGCTTCAGCGATCATGACCCATTTGTCACGACTAGCGAGCGATTAGTGCAGCCAGCCTCCCACATTACGGTGCAAACAGCAAACAATTAGGATGCTGATTGTGAACATCTCGCAGTGGACTATGAACCGACGTTTGACCTTTCTATGCAAACAAATATCCTGTATCCACACATTAAGACATTTCTCTGGGGAAAGGATATAAACAAGGGAGAGCCAGCGTGAAGGCATGAAGGGTAGCAATGCAAGTGCTCAGTCGATGCTGTGAAGTAGATTGCTGACAATGAAAAGCTAGTAATTAGGAGTAATTAGGAGTAATTAGGAGTAATTAGAAGTAGCTAGTAAATAAGAGTGCGAGAAAGGGACATAAATACTTTTTAATAGTGAGTCATTGATCACACACTCACGATACGAAAATTAGACAAATCATTGTTTTCAAACCGTTACTATGTTTTGTTATCAATGTCTTACTATACACTGCTATAAGGTTAGCTAAGTACATAACTGACAGGCTTCGCCGTCGGAGAAAACCACTCTAAGGAACCAGTCTAAAAAAAGGCCCCATCATTTACTCGACGGGGCTGATTTTCTCTAGATGGGGCGGATTTTTTTAAGTTGATGAATTGTGTAATAAAAGCTTTGAAATCTCGAAATTTGACGGCGCCGGAAGAAAAGCCCCGTCGATGTCGGAGACGGGCTGTTCACGGAGGCTTGGGCTGATCAGACCCCGTGAAAAAGCGAAGCCTGATAACTGACTTATTCGGCTGAGTGAGATAACCAAGACTCCTAGGATATTGTTGCTAGTTAGCGAGACCAATTTACACATGCGCATTTAAAAGTTACTTTGTATCTTCACCCAACCTCTCTAGCGAGTCTTATGGTGCAGAACTCTGAATCTGCATTTCGCTTAAAGCACTATCACAAGAATACGCCAGAATAAACTCTAATGAAGTGAAGCCAAGCATTCAAGTACCACCATATGAGCTGGGTTAGTTGAAAAAAACCAGTTCCATTTCCAATAATCGTCGTTCGTCAAATATTTGTGCACGTAACGAGATCGCTATTAAAGTGACTTCACTAAATCAATATATACTTGCAATGTATCTACAGATATTATTCACTAACTACGATGGACATCTGCAGTGCCTTCAATGTTCCATAGCTACCAAACATCTGGCTGGAAGTTGGAGTTTTCAGCAAAACAAAAAGTGCACTCATTATGGAACCGGGAGAGACGCCTGATATACTAACCCTGCACCAACAGGCACTTGAAACGTCTCAATAAAAAAAAGGTATAAAATAAACACGAAATGTATTTACTGCCAAAGTCTTAGTTAATGTTTCTCTACTCTATTTCGCATATTATTGTCGATAACTTGCTGTAAATGCCGTTTAAATGCTCATCTGCAACACACAAGTACACCGCACGCACGCCCTGTGCACAAACAACAAGAATAATTTACCAACCACAGGATACAATCATGCGAATCATACATAAATCATTACAAACAGAAATAAGCATGTGTGATGCCTAGTCCACTTGCTAGGCGATTCAGCATACTCGTGTTAGATGGTATAGGCAATCTGCATAAAGTGCATGATTGAAATCAGGTAATCAGGTAAGGACGAAATAGCTCACTTCGACTTTACTGGCTTCAGCATTTTACATATCTGGCTTTAGCATGACAGCATAGGTTCACATGCGATTGTCCACTATCTGTGCTAATGCACAGTGTGCTGCTACTACTGCACAGTGTGCTGCTACTGCACAGTGTGCTGCTACTGCACAGTGTGCTGCTACTGCACAGTGTGCTGCTACTGCACAGTGTGCTGCTACTGCACAGTTTGCCCGTGCCTACTACTGACACAGTGCGCTGCTACTACACAAGTGTACTGCCTACTCCCCACAGTGTGCTGCTACTGCCACAGGTGTTGCTGTACTACATGCACAGCTGTGCTGATTACTGCAACAGTGTGCTGCTTACTACTGCACAGTGTGCTACTACTGCACAGTGTGCTGCTACTACTGCACAGTGTGCTGCTACTGCACAGTGTGCTGCTACTGCACAGGTGCTGCTACTACTGCAAAGTGTGCTGTACTACTGCACAGTGTGCTGCGTACTACTATGCCACAGTGTGCTGCCTTACTGCACAGTGTGGCCACAGTGTTCTACTACTGCACAGTTGTGCTGCTACTGCACAGTGTACTGCTACTGCCATAGTGGTGCTGCTACTGACAGTGTGCTGCCTACTACTGCGCAAAAAGTTTTTTTTTTTTTTGTTGCTAGCTACTACTGCACAAGGTGTGCTGCTACTGCACAGGCTTGCCCTGCTACTGCCCACAGTGTGCTGCTACTACTGCAAAGTGTGCTGCTACTACTGCACAGTGTGCTGCTACTGCACAGTGTGCCACAGTGTGCTGCTACTGCAAAGTGTGCTGCTACTACTGCACAGTGTGCTGCTACTGCACAGTGTGCTGCTTACTGCCACAGTGTGCTGCTTACTACACAAGTGTGCTGCTACTGCACAGTGTGCTGCTACTGCACAGTGTGCTGCTACTGCACAGTGTGCTGATACTGCACAGTGTGCTGATACTGCACAGTGTGCTGCTACTGCACAGTGTGCTGCTACTACTGCACAGTGTGCTGCTACTGCCCACAAGTGTGGGCTGCCCTACTACTGCACAGGGTGCTGCTTACTACTGCACAGTGTGGTGGGCTGCTACTGCACAGTGTGCTGCTACTGCACAGCTGCACACATTCCCACACGTATGCTTCCTACGCGCATTGAGCCGTATAAACAGACTGTGTGATAAATATGTGATAACATGTCAGTTTGGATTAGATGTGCAACCCAATGTGGAATAATAACATCTCTACAGGATAACGTAGCGTGCCGATTACATGGCGCTGTGAACCTACTTTGACTATAGTGCTTTCTATACATATTCCATATTATTGTACACATTTACATGAAAACAAAATTTCATTCGAAAAATACAACATATAGGCCTACAACATAAATATAACATATACAAAAACAGGGGTAGAAATAAGGGGGAAAAAAGAGATGGTCCACAGGACCATCTAGTTTGAAATTTAGATGGTCCTCCTAAATTTTAGATGGTCCTCCTAATTTTGAAATTGCTTCTCTAAAAGTAATGCGGCGTGCAAGCGTAAGAAAGAGATTTTACATGGTGATAAAATGGTTTAATTATTCACCTACTGATTGTAACAATGAATGTATCAAACGATACAGTAATTGTTTATTCACTTTAATAGTATATATTGGAACGTGGAAACTTCAAAGAAAATTACCGTAAAATGGGACCAAAATATTGACGGACCATTGACTTTGAAAATCTGATGGTCCTCCTGATTATTTGATGGCCCCGGACCATCGCTTATTTCGACCCCTGCAAAAATACAACATGTACAACACAAATATACAACATAACAGGCAGAATGCCATCAGCAAGCAGCAATCAGCTGGACAAGTTGCGTAAAGCTGTTCAAAATGAACACCGAACATCGTGACAACAATATATAACAATAATATCAGAAGTAGATAATAGGGAACCCCCTCTAATAGGGGATAATAATAGGGATAATAATAGGGGATAATAATAGGGGATAATAGGGTTCCCTATTATCAAGAGCTAGTAATACCTAGAATGTACAACGGAAAAACGCTGAATAAAGTGGATGCGAGGCGGCGTGAGGCATGTGGGAGGGGAGGTTTAGGAGCCAATATCTCAGCCTAGGAGTATCGTATTGACAAGCGGTTGGTCTTGTTTTAGAGATCAAAGAATTCTGCTTAATGCAATACCATAAAATTATTCTAGACTCGCAGGCAAAGTAGAATAATGTTGTCGTGAAATAGCACTATTTTCCCGTTTTCCCGTTGTACACTCTAGGTATTATTAGCTCTTGCTATTATCTACTCCTGATAATATGTGTTGGTATAGAACAAGTTAGTTAGTTTCCCATTACCACTCAGCCTAAAGTATCACCTAACACTCACCTATATAATAGGTACTTTATTGGGCCAATTTCAGCCTGGAGGTTCTTAAAATCGCGGGTTCTTTTATGCGGGTGTTTAGTCCCAGGGAAAAAATAAAATTTATTTTATCGGGGGCTACTTTTCAAGCTCGCGTGCATGAAAATAGCAGTCTAAAATTTGGTTTGCATTAAATTCTATGCAAATTTACGGGGGCTCTTTTTGGCATTTCGGGGGCTAATTCGCCCCGAGCCCCCGTGCATTTTTTCCACTGGTGTTTACTGTATTGCAACTGAGGAGGTAAAAGCAA